CCTTCGTCTTCAATAATCATGTTATGCAATATAATACATGTATACATGATTTCTTGAAGTTTTTCCTCGCCCAAATAAGCTGCTGGTTTTTTCAATATGAACCACCGTTTCTTCAGAGCTCCAAAAGCACGCTCAACATCCTTTCTAGCTCTTTCTTGAGCTCTCTTGAATTTCTTTCGTCTAGAACCATGCGGAGCTGAAAACGATTTAACAAACACAACATACTCAGGATAGATTCCATTGACCAGATAATAACCATACTTATATGGCGTTCCATGCACTTGAAAAGAAGAATCTGGTGCGGATCCATCGTATATGTTGTTAAATATTGGTGAACGGTTAAGAACGTTGATGTCGTTAATCGAACCAGGAGAACCAAAAAAAGCATGCCAAATCCACATATCTTGTGATGCAACTGCTTCAAGTATTACCGTTGGGTGACCATGATCACCTCGGGTAAATTGCCCATGATATGCTGTAGGGCAATTTTCCCATGCCCAATGGAGACAATCTAAGCTTCCTAACATGCCAGGAAATCCATGCACACTAGCATGATGAGCTTGCAATTGCAAGATGTCATTACGTGTAGGCTTACGTAAATATTTTGGACCATAAAACTGAATGACAGTTTTGCAGAAAAAATGGAGACTGTCTCGTGCTATTCTAGCAGACATCCTAAAACTTTCGTCTAACGCATCAGGCGGAATGCCATATGCTAACTGACGAAGTGCCGCCGTGCATTTTTGTAACGGAGTGAAACCGGTTGTACCTCTAGCATCGTGGCGTTGTTGGAAAAAACTGCACTCCCTCGTTACATCTTCAACTATACGTTCGAATAAACCTTTGAGCATTCTGAAGCGCCTACGAAAATAATACCCTTGGTAAGTGGCATTCTCTGCAAAATAGTCTTGTACCAAACGTTGGTTAGCTTCTTCACGATTTCTGTAAATGTATCTTCGTGTTCTCTGTTGAGAACTTGCAGCTGCGTTGTTACATACAACGTTGTATGTTTGTTCCGCCATTTGAACACACGCAATAGCGGTATCAAAAATAGTCTGAAATTCTTCAGAAGATGAAGAAGATGATATTTTTGGGAGAGTAGTGATTTAAAAAAAATATATATTTTTTGAGAGATAGAGAAGATTATGTTGTGAATAAAAAAGTTAAGTTGATATGTGTATATATAGGAAAGAAAAAGAAAAAAAAAACAAAAGGAAAAAAAAAAAAAACAAAAAACAAAAGATTCTTTCAATTTCAACGGTCAAAATGACCAGCCAATCAGAATACGCGGTCTTGAGGGGCCGCACCGCGGTTTAGACCGCAGCAAACCGCACCCTAGGGGCGGTGTTCCATGCTGAGTTGGCATGGAAGCGCGGTCTCAAGCCGCACCACACTGAGAAGTCTTATATATTCACTAGCCCTAGGAAATTGTTGTCACTCCACGTTGTTTTTTATTTCTTTTTTTATATTTAGATTAAATAAAAAACATAATTAATAAAAATAAATAAATATTTCACATTACATAACGTAAATTACTAAAAAAAACATAAAACATAACATTTCAAACCTAAATTACTAAAAAACGTAAAATCATAAAAATTTAAAACTGAAAATGACTTAAAAACCATAGAAAATTAAACATAAAAATTAAAACGTTAAAAACTTAATTTTCATACTTGTCATGAACTTGTTTTTGGATTTTCAGAAACGAGGTTAAATTTTTCGGGTCGATATTCGGTTGCGGTTTTATGTTTAAAATTTGAAGATCGGTAAGTGCTAGTTTCTGGGGACGAAATTCCTCCATCGAGTTATATTTTTTTTTTCAAAAAACTTAGAGTTTCATCAAATTTTTCCTTAAATACGTCTTTATTAATCGTTTTTCCGCTTGAAGACACCGCTTTTTTCCCTTTGTTCCTTCCAGGTGGTCGACGAAGTTGGACGTCTGGTGGACCCTCCCCTGCGGCGTCTTCGTTGAGGTCGACACCAAAACCCACATCCGACTCGGAAGTTCTTGGCATTTTGTTGGAGCCGATGGTCGATTCCGAATGCGAAGTCTCCGTTTTAAGGACCCATTTTGGACCCTTACGACAAATTTCTCACGCATTTTGGTGGCCGAATGCTTTACCGCCGTTGGTAACCTTGTATTGTTACTGAAGTCGTTGCTACCATTTTTATGCGTATTTTTCAGATTTTCAAATATGTCGTTAAACTTGGTACAAGTCGCTCGTAGTTCACGCCATTTTCAATTTACTGTGTCGTACATTCGACCCTTTTTCCTTCCCAAAAGCGAGTGAAAATGACCTAAAACACGAACCCAAAAATTGTTTCATGTTTGCGTGTTGCCTGTCCTCGAGTCATACAATATAAAAATCCAAGTTTTAGCTAAAGCTTTCTCCTCATCTTCGTTCCAAGTCTTTCCTCTTTTTTGTAGCTTTTCCTTTTGGTTGCCTTCTTTTAGATGGTTGTGTTTGTTCGACTCGGTCGTCGTCGTCAGTGTCCAAGTTGATAGGTGGGGATTGAGATAATGGGACTTAAGATGGTTGTGTTTAGAATTGTTGAGATTGAAATTGTTGAAAAGCTTGTAAGTGGAGTTGATTTGAATTGTTATGGTATTTGTTGTTGGAAGTAGTTTGGTTGATATGGAATGTTGGTAAATAGAGGTTATTGTTGGATTGGAAATGTTAACATTTGCATGTAACATTGATATTTATCATTTGGAGTGTTTCGGGTTGTTAGGGTGCTTAGAGTGGTTGGGTATTTTGATTTTGATCCATACTTTTGAGAAAAAAAATGAAAAAATATGAAGATATTTGAATGGTTTTGTGGTGTGAAATGGTATAAAAATGTTGGTATTTATATGGTTTAGTTTAAGGATAAAAATATAATAAAAAAATTACATTGTAACGGGTCAATTTTTGATAGTTTGGTTAAGTGCGATTCTATTGGCCGTAAAGATGCATAACACTAATTAATCCACACCGCATTTACAGGTGAGGGGGCGGTGTTCACGCATAAAGATGTGTGCCCCCTCACCCTCTATGTGTAAAAATGTACCCCATACTCTATGGTCTAAGGGTCACCATAATCACATTTATGGTAATTATAAAACTAAAAGCTTAATTACCAAATTAAATCAATAACAAACACAAATATTATGACCGGAATTGTGCTTCGCTTTGGTAACAAAACTACACTGTAACAGAAAAACCAATTAAGACGTTGGATGCAAAAATAAATTTAATTCTTCTAAACTCCTTTCAATCATTAAATTTTGGTGATCAGTTTCCGATTCATCCAGTTTCCGTTTTGGATGTTTAATATATCAAAACGAAGAATTAAAATAGGAGATCACGAATAAATAACAATTCACCGGTTTCGACATTGGATAAGGTTTTGAATTTGTGTTAAAATTTGGGAAAAACCATTTTTTCCAACAAATTATCTACATAAATATCCTTGCAACACTAGTCCAAAATGCCTATATTTATTTTAGGCGCAATGTGTGTTTATTGTGAGACGTTGAAGTCCCTGTGAGGTTGTAATATGAATTCAGAATTACAATTATATTAACTTAAAAATTAACAATTTCATTAACTAATAAACTATTACATTAATTCAAACAAATAGTTCATAACAACAATTTTCATTTTTATATTTTTTTAACATGAACAATTTTCCAATAATAATATTTTTTTTGAAAGAACATTAACGAAATGCAACTATATTCTAGTCGTACCAAGTGATGTGGTCATTTTGTTGAAGTTCATAAAAAATAGTGTTGTGGTGACATAGTATCTCTTATTTTTCATGGTCATTTTAGTGAATAACTCTACATTTGTTCATAATATTAGGGTCGTTTGACACTAATAACCATGAATTTTCATGTAGTGTAGAGTTGTGCAGTGGGGCTTGGGCCAGGTACCGCCCCACCCACTGTCAGTTTGATCCAGGCTTTGACATTGACCGGTCAAAGGGTGGGCTAGGTTAATTGGGCCGATAATATGGAGGTATATAGTATACTAGGCATGCACAAAAAAACCGGTTCAAGATCCGAACCGGTTAAAAAACCGGTTTACGCTGAACCGGTCCACAGTGAACCGAACCGATTTGAGAACCGAACCACCGGTTTACACCCATTCGAGATTTTAGTCGTGAAACCGGTTTAGAACCGGTTTATATCGGCTGAACCGATTTGGAACCGAACAGAACGAACCGGTTTAGAACCGATTGAACAGGTTTAGAACCGGTGTAACCGGTTTAGATAGGTTCGACTAATTTTTTGAGTGAACCGGTTTGAGGCTGAACCGGTTTTGCTTGGCTAGGGAGTGAACCGAACAGGTTCAAAAGAACCGATTCGGTTTGAAAAATGAACCGGTTTGTGCATGCCTATAGTATACTAGCATGGGTAATTGGATCAAAAAGTCTGCATATTCAAATTTACAAAGACTATGTTTGAGCATTGTTTAAGTTGTAAACTTTTAAGAACCTATTTCAGCATTCTAAAGTCTTTCATATTATCTCTTTGTAATTTAAATAAAACCCAGAACCAAAAGAGTCATTCAATGGACCATCTACCACCTGAATTATATGTTTTCAAAAGCTTTGCATTGTTAGTATTTCTTCACATCAAGTTTAGATTATATCATTTGTTAAAAATGTGTAGCCCATTTTGAAGAAAACATACTACCCTCATTTTCTCACTTACAAAAAGATTATCAAACATGTCTTTCTTACTCGATTACCATGACACTTAAACACTTAACGGGCCTGTTTTTAAGAATGCTGATATGGGCCAGGGGCCCATTTACGCACCTCTAATGTAATGCATCACATGGATTGCATTTGAAATGTCAATCTAATCAAAGTCTCTTGAATTAGTACACACTCTGTTTACTATCAGTGTGTTTCGAAAAGACTTTCAAACAAGAAAAGAGTACAACTCCCATCTCTTTATAAAGAAGTGGGCACTGTTCGCTAAGATTCTCTGTACAAAAAGTCCATACAACTAGTAAAATACATAAGAAAGAATCCAAACACATAATCATTATGCCTACACCCTATCCCCTAACTAATCCATTTCTCTTTCACCTTCTTTAATAACACAAATCTCGACTTTATTAAACTCTTTGACTAAAAGATGTCACAATTTACTAACAAAAAAAAAACATCTTCAAGTATGACAAAAAAACAAAAACAAAAACAAACTGTTCTACTACAATTGAAGATTACAAACATCAACACACTAAAACTAAACAAAGATTTTTTGACAAAATAAAACGTCCCCCACACACATGCTGATACTTATGCATTTCAGTTGCTTTACAATATGAGCAAAAAACTCTTTTTGTTTTTCAACTAATGACCAACTCGAATCCCATCTGCTATATATGATTTATATGTATCAACCTTCTTTTGCTGTTTTCTATATAGAGATTAACCAAAAAGAATATCCACTGATTAATTACATGACGACCCTTTTCTTGAAACCTAATATATCTCTTTTAGGGTTCAGCTTTCAGATGGCTTGGAGGTGTTGATCCTGCATAAAGAATATAATTATATAGTTTTCTTCTTACCTAAAAAGTTAATTAAATGTTTGATTACATTTAAATAAAATACCTAAATTTTGAGTACTACTAGGGTTTAATCCCATTTGAACTATGTTATTCAGCTCATCATCCCACGTGCTAGGTACCTGTCTTTACACAATACATATAGAATGACTTAATGGGTTAAGCCAAAAAGTTAAACAGACTGTTTGATAGTTGCTGATTGAGTCAGATATAAGTTTACCTGAGAAGTAGGATCTTTATATACTCCACCAATGGCCATTAAATGGGAATTAATTGTTCTTCTCACAGCATCTGATGAGCTTCCTAAACCAGAAATTCCACCTTGCATGATTGCCATTTGTGATGGATTATAAGCCATTGCCATGTCAGCACCAAAACCAAGTGTAGCAGAAGGCACCCCTCGCGATTCAAGCATCTGTTAAAATAAATCATTAACATTTATTTTTATTTTTTTTAAATGAAATTAAGATTTACGTTAGAATAAAATGTCGTACATCTTTTGCTATAAGCCCTTCAAGGTTAAAATCCATTCGAGGATTAACTGTAGCAAGCTTCATCGACAAAAACTACAAAAAAAATGGAAATTTAATTTAACGATTTTACATATGTTAGAATATTAGCAATCGAGAAATGTTTTTTTTTTTTTTTTTTTTAATCATACCTCAACTTGTCTTTGTAGCGACTGTACATAGTTAATAATTTCATCTAACATAACAGCTTTTCCTGTGACCTTAAAAAACAACCAATATAAATAAGAAAAATGTAAAACAATAAATAAAATAAAAGACTTGTGTTTCACATAAATTTAAGTAACTTACCTTGCTACATCCAGGGACAAGATCTTGAAGAAACTTCATTCTTTCGCTAATTTTCTCCCTTCTTACCTATAATTGTTGTATATTAAATGCTTCAAATTAATTCATTAATTACTATAGACTTTAACTATTAAAGAGTAAAGACTGTATTTAAGTGAAGTCTTACTCTTTCTGCAAGACTATGGCTATTGGTAGCTTGGCCTCTTCTTGCCCTTACATGAATGTATTCTTCTTTTTGTCCATCGGATGATTGAGATACTTGTTTTCCATGTTTGCCACTTGATTTATTAGCAATTGAATTTGGATTCTTGTCACCCATTTGTTGGATTTCAGTGTTGTTCTTTGTAGATTCGTTAGGTGTTTGTGGGGATCTTTTGACTTGGTTGTAATCAGTATCCTGTTGTTTAGAATAAGAACAGTAAAAAAAAAGTCAAAGTCAAAGATCATATTTGATCAAGATAAAGAAGTAATCAAGATTCGAGAGAGATACCTGATCACTTCTTCTTCGTTTCTTTGAGCCAAGTCCCTCGTTTGAAGTATCATCTTGTCCACCTTCACTGAATTCAGCTTCACCGGGAAGATTGTTGCCGGAAAAACCAGAACCGCCCTGTCTGGCGTCGTTCTTGGGTTGACTTCCATCGCAGTCTACAGGAAGTGGAATGTCTTTAGACCCTTCGCCAGATGTCGATTTGAACCCGTTTACAAAACCTTCTTGAACTGGTCTAGAATAAGGACTTAAAGATGATTCGGGTCCATTGCCAAAAGGGTTTATCATGTCTTCGAAGTTACCTGCACTGAACGAGGACAATCTGGCTGCTCTTTCGATGAAACCTGAATCGGCTGGAAATTGGGATAAAGTGTGAGGAAGCATGGTGGAAGTAGCAGCTGGTGGTGGTGGTATGAATATACCGCCTCTTTTAATGGCGGAATTTGGTGGAGGCCAGGACATGTCGAGGTTTCGTGAAGGGGTGTGGAGATTTCCTTTTCGGAACCCAAGTGAGGATGATGAAGTGGTCGGATTGTTCTGTAAATTCATATCGCAGAAAGCTCCTAAGTTTTGAGGATTTGTGGGATTGTGATCCCAAATGGTGGGTGGCGTATGGCAAAAGGAATCGATCATGGAAGCTGAAGAACACGGAGTGTTGTTGTTCATGGGGTTGCTTGAGGTAACCATGGCCATCGATGTGTTTGTAAGATCATTGGAACTGTTAAACGGCCAATCTGAGGATAAATTGGTGGAATTGTAATGCAGTTGTTCATCATCATCTCTGTTTCTCCCTTCAATCTCATCCTCCCCAGCCATTATATCGCAATAAATAAGTCAAAATCACAAAATGCTTGACCACCCAGATAGAAAGAAAGAAGAAAAAAAAAACCCTAATCTCGAAGCGTATAGACAACAGACCCAGATGAATTAAAGCTCCAAATCAAAGCAACTTCTTAAATGCAGATAGAAAAGAAACTGTACCATGAGAAAACCCGAAGGAATCGGAAGTAATAAAGATGAAATTTATGAGAGTGAAGAAAACAAAAGGTTAGAAAATTAATAGTTAAAACATAGACAAGACAGTTCCCGAAAGGATCATTGGAATTGAAATGCGTAAAATTAAATCAAATCCCCAAATTTACACAAACAGATGCCTCCTCCAATGACAAGAAAACTCATTAAAGAGCTCAGAAAAGTGTTCAGGGAGTAGTTAATTTACGCACAGACGAAAAAGAACATCGATTCAGTATCATAAATAACCTCTCCATTCATTTCATGATTCATTCTGACCAAACCCTAATCGGAGGAAAACACAACCAAAAGTAGGAAGCGAAAAAAGATACCCAATTCAGAGAATCTGAGCAACTTTTGGTACTATGCTCTTCACTGCCCACTTGAAGACGAATCAAATAAAAAAAACCCAAATCTTTCTCTTCAATTAAAACAGCCCCCTCAAGATATCGAAAGAAACCCCACAAAAATTTCACAGATCAGTAAATATACATAATAGAAAGAAAGAAAGAAAGAAGAAAGAGAAATGGGTGTTTGAGGAAAACTGGAACAGAAGGTTTACTAATGGCAAAGGTCCTGCATTTATGCCCACGCCTGCATGAAAAACAGAGCTGTTGATGATTAACCACCGCCACTGCAGCTGTTAAAAAATTATGGTAAATCTTTTCCACAGAGATAAAGAATTGATATTAAATTCAAATGTGTCATAACACTGAGTTGTATGTTGTGCATTAATGGATGTACCTTATGACTGAATCTGATATGGAAAGGGACCAACCCAGTATTATACATTTATACTAGTATACGTATTGTTATTTGTTAATGTATATTGTTGAGTGGCTTTATGTGTAGCACCACTTCTGTAGTGTAAGGATATTGGGTGGCTTTATGTGCGATTCTTTGACCCCCTCATCCCTTTATTTTATGTTTAGCAAATCCCCAATATATCACTATTTAGATTTTATGTGTTTTTATGCGATTTATATATAAGTTATTAGTTTTTATTAGTTTGTACATACATAAATTAATGGGGTACTCAACACATTCTCTTAATCAATTAAATATTCAATATCAAATAATAAGAAAACCCAAATGTCTATCTTTTTCGAAAATATGGAATTTTCGAAGACTAATAAAATTCCAAACATTTCCTCGTTTTTAATTTTTTTAATTATACCGATGTACATTTCAATTTCCAATCTTCCGGTGGTGATATAAATCATAGTTTTTGTAATGTATTGTTGTGGAATGTTATATTGTCATTTTTCAGAATTATATTGAATCAAAAGATGTCATCGGTTAATGAAATTGGACACGTGGGAGTTACATGTTGAAGATGTGAAAGATGTGGTCTAGAAGAACAACCTTGTGAGCAAGTAAAATTTGGTCGTAATGACGGAGTTGTCTGAAATAGAGCATCGTAGGGTGACTAAGTGATCAACAAGTTAAGAGATGTCATTCGGTTGAGAAGAAAAACTCATTGCAACTCTGGATCTTTGACCTATAATATGTGACATGTAATAAAATGATCATGAATTGCAAGAACTCAGTCTTATTGACATAGATAGCGCCTTACTAGTAGGTTCTTACATATGATTTGGTATGCAGGTTAAAGATTTCTGAAATGCCATGAAACAAATGGTTAACTAGCTTGATCATTGCCGTTGGTAGAGGAGCAAAAAAAAAAAGGAATTTGTATCTACTTCTTGATTCGATGACAACTCGAGTGAAAATGTGTCGTAGACTAATATTTCATGCGATTTGTCATCCATTGAGAAGTAGGTGTTCATTACTAGATTTTTAAAGAAATTGTTATGAAATCAATACGCATTCTTTATAGGATATTGTTGTAAGATATATACAATCATTTCGAGTTGTGATGTGTACACATTAATTTTAGAAACTTATTATGTTTTTGTGAGTTAATGCCGCATTCATTCAAATTTAAGGAAGACCATAAAGAGCAAAACTACATGTACAAAAAACATCTGAATGTATGTGTAACGTCCGGATTCGCCAGGTAAAAACTTTTGCATTATACTTCTTTTACTTGTGGACTAAACCTAAGTATGTTGGGCATACACAAGGTACGCACCACGTACTCTTATGCATACGCGTATCGGAGGTGTCCACTGCGTACGTTGGGCGTACCCATATGTATGTGGGTCGTACACAAGTTAGGGGCAAACCCTAATTTTTAAGGTTTGCGCCCTACTGAAACACATTAAGCCCTTCACCCTCTTCACCTTATCAGCCTCCTTTACTTCTTGAGCCATATCTCGAAACCCTAATCCATTTTCCCTAAAGTTTGAGCTTGTGTGGGTGTGTGTGTTGCTTAAAGAAAAAGAAGGAGATTTGTGAAGAAGAAGTAGACTAGCAAGAGCTTGTAGATCCAGAGGTGTCTTTCCATTTCTAGCTTATTAGAGGTAAAAAGCTCCTATCTTGATGACTCCATGCGTTAGTTTTAGTTTAGGGCTTATATTCTTCATATTATGGTCCTTAAGGTGGTTATTAAGAGTATAAGCTACTCCAGAAGAAAATAATGTTAGATCCTAGTGTCTCTAATGTCCCTTGAGCATAAAAATGGAGTCTTTATGGATTAATTTCAAGCATGCAAGGGTTAAATTTGGGTTCATCAAGTTAGTTGAAGATTTGACCCATTCAAGACATGTAAAAGCATAAACTTTGCAACTTTATGGATTAATACACTCTAATGAGCATAGATCTAAAACTAGACATTAGGTCTTAATTGATTATGACCTTAAAAGTGGACTTTGCCAAGGTGCAGCGTACGTCGGGCGTACCTAGGCCGTCGCACGTATGCTCAAGAAGTCCCGTGGATGCGAAGGTAGTGACTAGGCCCCGCGTACTGGAAGTACATTGAGCGTACTCACTAAAGGGGGGATTAGGCTTTATTTCAAGCTCTTTTGTGGCTTAAGGACTTTGGGCCCTTGTTTAACTATGAGTTGTTCTATGATGGGCTTTTAGACTTGGACCCATTTTTGACATGGCATATCTTTTAAGCCTTGGGACTAATTGTATGTGGGCCTTGGTGGATTAGGCCCAATAAGGCAAGGATTAAGTAGCTTTTTCCCTTTAAAGATAGGATTTATGGTTTAGACCCTCGTGGTGGGCTATTGACTTAATTTCTAATTAATGTTTATTCTACTAGTGATTTAGAGTTAGAGGATTTTGCGAGTCAGCAGCTTGGGTGTGATTTGATACCTTCAGTTTGAGGTGAGTTTGTTTCACTATATTCGTGGGTCGAAGGCACCAATGTCGACCCACTAGCTTATACTTGTAGTATGATGATTGTCTTCGTGATAATTGTCTGTTATACCTATATCTGATTGATGTCTCTGTGACTCTCTTGTTATGATATTATGTGGTAGTAGTAGGGGTGAAATAGACCTGATACCGATTGAAAGAGACTGAAGGGGTTGAAATATATCTAGTACCGGTTGAAAGAGACCGAAGGGGTTGAAATATACCTAGTACCGGTTGAAAAATACCGAAGGTGTTGAAATATACCCAATACTGGTTAAAAGAGACCGAAGAGTTTGAAAGCACCCATATACGCTTGACTATTATGTGTGAATAGTATGGGGTATTTTGAAGGAACTCACTAAGCTTTGTGCTTACAGTTTTTAGTTTATGTTTGAGGTAATTCCAGCTCCAAAGGGAAGGGTCCGACCTGATCGCACTACATACACCTATGTTTTTTTTTCCGCATCACGTGATTTTGGGATTTTGTATTCTGATAATATTTTATTATGATATACTCTCGACTGTTTTGATATGATTATCATATGGTCGAAATGAATTTTTTTTTAAAAATTATCTGAATTTTCGGATGTTACAGTGTATTTACTATTTTTGCAGGTGGTAGCGAAACTTTAAGATTGCCAGAAAACTCATGTTTGGTCGAAAAACTCAATGGTATATCGAGAACAAAATTTAGTGACTAAAATGTATACAACACTTAAAGTTGGTTAACCTTACAAGTTATTATCTTTAAAATTAAAGAAGATTTATATTATATTTTAAATAATAATTATTTATAAAACCTAAAATAATAATGGAATTATTTTGTGTTCAATTCAACCCGAACTGGTAAATTTTAAATTAATCAATATGATTTATAAGGGAGGACGGAGCTCCTTGAAGAAAATTAGGGGAGGTGTCGGGGTACCTCCAAGATTACGACCCCATGATGAAAGGTGGCATCGTACAAGGGAAGAATAGGGGGTTACATAAATCGTACAATGTCTCCCTATTCTCTAGATTTTTTCTTTACTCTCAAGCTTAGATACTTGTTATTTATACATGAATACTTGTAACATATATTGTTTTGAATCTTTTTAATTGAATGTGTTAGAAAAAATAAAAAATTTATGTGTTGTAGACCATGAAAAGAAATGATAATAAATATGATTTTTATTTGTTGTACCTCCACCGTAACTGACCTCCCTTTTATGCTTTCTTCCACCCACATGGCTTCCTTTTTTACCACCTTTATATGAAACTATAGTTGTAAAATAATATTATTATATATCCAAACAGTAAATTGTAAATTGGCTTTGCTTTAATATTAATTTTACTTGGTAATTAGTCGAGTCAAGTTTTGGTAAATTGAGTAATCTAACATTTATAAATGACAATTTTAACAAAAATAACCAACATTTTTTTTGGAAAAATGACCACTTGCTCCCGAACATAGAATTCCGGAGCCGTGGTCTCCGTTCCTACTCCGGATTATAATCTCATATATATATATATATATATATATATATATATATATATATATATATATATATATATATATATGGGGGTGCATGTGTGTGGGTGTGTGGTTAGAACCTTAGCTTCAACCAAGTAATTTGTAATTATCTCTTATAAAACTGCTTCAAAATGAGGTTCTCGGAGAGTCAGCACGAAGAAATCTTTAACAACCTGTCTGTTTACCTTCACAACCTTAGGAAAACTAACCCGCATACTTACACTCACATCAAAAATAATTTGATGGATCGTTTCGAAGCTTGTTTTATGGCTATTGGATGGGTGGTATATTTGTTGTTTGCACTTTTCTATTGTTTCTTTAGAATATATAATGTTTCTACATCTAAATTAATTTGTTTTTGTTTCCAAAAAATACATGTTCATGCATTCATAGATTGCTTCTTGTCTGTCATCTTCATGGGTAATGTCCCTCTTAAAAGGGAATACCTAAAATAATGTTTGTAGCGGTTGCTATCGACGGGAACAACTAGACCCTCCCTATAGTATTTGGTCTGGCCGTGGAAAATAATTTCTACTATTGTACATGGTTCCTTATGAGGTTAAGAGAAGATCTAATACATGTTAGGGAAGTATCGTTCATAACAAATATGGACGATGTTGTTAGTTCTTGGATAGAGCATGCATTGATTCTTATCATGGGTATACTTCTAAAAGTGTGTTCAAGTATATGCGCACAAGAGACATCTCTGGAAGAATATTACAACCTTTGTTCTAGATGACATCCAACTCATATATTGTGTTTGATTTTAAAAGAAAACTTCCATCAGCCAACCCCCTCATGAAATACTTCCCAACATCGGTCATGCGAAATAGGCAATAACCTATTTCCCTAACATTCGTTGGATTGTAGTCAATACTGATGTTCCCCAATTTTTTTGTTATCGGTAAATTTAACGTAATGTACCGATAATAATGTTTATCGAGGCAATTCATGACTACATTCAACGGACTTTCGATGAACGCAGATTAATGACAGGTAAAATACCGGGTGAAATATTAAATTTACTTAAATACTTGTACAAGAGCCTTATTTGATCATATTTACTTTTCAACGTGCTTGACTACCATACTCACCCCGTATGCTGAAATGGTGCTTCACAAAAGGATGA